TAACAAAAACCCTGTGGTACCCGTTAAGTACGTTATCAGGATCAGTATTCAAACCTATAGAAATAACTTTTGTTTTAAAAACTCGACCATTTTTTTTATTTTATTAAAAAAATAATTTTATGTGGTTTTATTACCTCTTACTGACACTAGCCGATGCTACAGCTAAGTTAAAGGGGGTCTTTGACAATCCTCTCACTCCCCATATAATGCAGAGGTAATAAAACCACATACAATTTGCATACAATTATTTTTTATAAAAAAAAATAAAAAAAATATTGTTCGTGTTTTTAAAAAAATGTTATTTCTATACGTTTGAATAATGATCCTGATAACGTACTTAACGGGAACCACAGGGTTTTTGTTACATGTTGCATATCGGTTCATCCGTTTGGGAGCTACGATATAGGTACGTTTTTTTACATATTGTATATTTAGTTTTTTTTTTGTTTGAAAGGCGACTTGATCGAGATTGTTCTTAGCTATGATTCAAGAAAATATTTTTAGGTGTCTGAAGATTATTAGCTCTTTTTGTTTCGGGTTTTATTTTTTGTGATTTATAATTCTTATATTATCTCTCATTCGGTCAAAATAAAAGCGTTGTTCTATATTTGTACATAAAGTGTTAAAAACTTAAATTACTCCTTATCGCTGGCCCAATAAAGCATAAAAGGCATAAAGCTTTTAATCTCATTAGCATACTTGAACAAACTTTTATCTTCATATGGCATGACATCTACTACCACGACCACTAGTTAAACACACACAAGTAATAGAATAATAATATTTGAAGCATAAATTAAATATTACATTTTAGAAAAAAGAAAAGAAGAAATCATTTTTATTTCTGTATTATCTATGTATTTTATTCTGTATAAATGTCGAGCAATTATTTATTGTAGTTGGTTTAAGCTTAGAGTTAGTTAAGTTAGATACAGCCTCTATACGTCCCACTCCTGGGCACAGGCCTCCTCTCATTTCTGAAATTATTTTAGGGTAAGGAAATATCCACCGCGCTGCCCGAATACATCATCATCATCATAATCATCATTACAGCCCTTCACAAGTCCACTGCTGAACATAGGCCTCCCCCAAAGAATGCCACCAGCATCCATCGACTTCCTGCATGTCTTACCAGGTCGTCACTCCATCTAGTGGGGGGACGCCCTACACTTCGCCTACCGGTACGAGGCTGCCACTTGAGAACCTTTCTTCCCCATCGGTTGTCGGTTCTTCGAGCTATATGGGCGGCCCACTGCCACTCCAGCTTACTAATCCGTTGGGCTATGTCGGTTACTCTGGTTCTACTGCGGATATCCTCATTCCTAAGTTTATCACGCAGAGAAACTCCGAGCATAGCCCTCTCCATAGCTCGCTGAGCGACCTTGAGCTTCCTCATACGGCCAGCAGTGTAGGACCACGTCTCAGTTCCGTAAGTCATCACTGGCAACACGCACTGGTTGTACGTGCCCGAATACGTGTTAGTGAATTTCACATGTCTTCGAAATATTTTTTTTATTTCTCAAACAGAAGGAAAACGTGAGGAAATCTGCACGATTTCCTTACGTTTTCCTTCACCGCTGAGCAAATGGTAAATCAGCACTTATTCCATTTAATCAAGCTTAGAGTAATTATATACATATTAAATGTCTAAATCTAAGAATAAATGGCAGATTTCTAAAAAAATCGAAGTTGTGTCCACGACAAAAATATTTTTTGCGTAAACTATGCTTAATCCTTAATCCTAAACTATACTTAATGGAGATGGGTCATCTCCACTGATTTTTTTTATAGGATAGGGTGGCAAACGAGCACACAGTCCACCCGATGGTAAGTGGTTGCTGTGGCCTATAGACATCTACATCTATCTTCGTTTGCGAATCAAAATGCAGATGCGTTGTCACCAGTGAGGACTAAGATGGAATGCCTCTTATCCAGTAAAAAGGGTCTCCGGTTCTCTACACTCACCATACGAAACACAGCAGTGTTAAGCTGCTATTTTACGCTGGTATTCTGTGAGAGCGTAGTCATTCCCCGGTCGAGCCGACCCATTCGTACTACAACTATAATACTAATATAGCTGCAGCATGACTCTACCACGTTTTATACTACTAATATAGCTGGAGCATGACTCTACCACGTTTTATTCATGGAAGCATCACCTCCTTGTCCTCGAAAATAATGGAGTACATTATTAAATGCCAGCTCATGTGGTACCTTGAGGAGCACCAACTGATTAGTGACCACCAGTACGGTTTCAGTCGGGGTCGCTGAGCTGGTGACCTTCTCGTTTACCTAACACACAGATAGGCGCAGGCGATCGAGTCCAAGGGGAAAGCTTTAACGGTTAGTTTGGACATAGCAAAGGCCTTCGATCGGGTTTGGCACAAAGCGCTTCTTCCGAAGCTTCCTTTCGAAGCTCACATACAAGCCTATTGACGCTGGTGTTCCATAAGACTATCAGCTTATGTCAACGCTGTTTATTCTGCATATGAATGATATGTTGCAAATCAGTAACATTCATTGCTATATGTACGACAGCACTGGTGATGCTTTATACAGCGGCCCGGTTGTGCAAATATTTCTCGGTAAAATGTCGCCCAGTACCGGAACAAACTTGTATATGAAGTCGAGACTATGTTGAACAAAGTCTCGGATTGGGGCCGACTAAATCTAGTCCAGTTCGATCCCCAGAAGACACAATTTTGCGCGTTTATCGTTAAAAAGAACCCCTTTGTCATATCTACTCAGTTTCACGGCACTCCCCTTGTTGCCTCAGCTAGTATCGGAATCTTCGGTGTCGACATATCGAGTGACGTGCAGTTTCGTGGTCACTTGGAAGAGAACGCCGAATTGACCTCTGAAAAGCTTTGCGTGCTCAGCAAAGCGGGACAGTATCTCATCCCGGCACACCGCCTGCGGCTTTACAAGGTGCAGGTTCGGCCGCACATGGAATACTGTCCCTATAGCCCCCCCGCGGCTCCTCAGTGCCAGCTCCTCTCGCTTTATCAAGTACATGTCACGAAAAAAAATTAATGCAACCATTGTCAGTCATGCTACATGGTAGAGCCATGTTGCAGCCGACCCATTCACGATGCAGCCATTGTATGACTGCATCATGAATGGTCAGCACGACCGAGGAAGAACTAAGCTGTCACAGATTTACTAGCGTGAAATAGGTGCAAAATGCTTCGTATGGACGAAAGCCGGAGAGACCCTATTTACGGATACCAGGCAATCCCTCTTATTGTCTCATATCTAAGGGATGATAACACATTCTGTACTTTGATTCTTACTAAGAGATAGAGGCACGTGTATGTAGACGACAATGGCCAACCCGTTAGCAAAGCGTGACAATCACTATCCTAGCGATATTCCACCTGCAAAGCGTTCTAGATTCTAGTAACCTTGATGAGTGTAAATACTATTTGGATTGAAAGGATCGAATTATATCTTGAGAATATAACAATGCCATCAAAACATTAAAAAAAAACCAAGTCCCGCAACTCAGTTCTTCTACCGTAAAAAGTTTTGAGATCCATGTAATACCAAGTCGATTAATTTATTCAGTCCCTACTTCCTTAACCGATAACTTAAATTAACTTAAGATAGAAGGACCCTTGTCCTTCTGTCTTAAGATATTACGTAATTAGCTAACCTAACAACATCTTATAGTGACCATATCAATATTAAAATCTTTTGTTTTAAATAAATAGATTGACTTGGACATCGCATGAAAACACAATGTATCTCACAAGTAATACATATTATATTAAATAAGATTGTTTAATGCGATTGCCAAGTCAATCTATTTATTTAAAACATTAAAAGAAAATTAATATTCATGTGGTCACTATAAGATGTTGTTAGGTTTTTTTTTTATAGTATAGGGTGACAAACGAGCACACAGTGCACCTGATGGTAAGTGGCTGCTGCGGCCCATAGACATCTGCATCTATCCTCGTTTGCGAATCAAAATGCAGATGTGTTGTCTCCCGTGAGGACTAAGATGGAATGCCTCTACACTCACCATACGAAACACAGCTGTGTTAAGCTGCTATTTTACGCTGGTATTCTGTGAGAGCGTGGTCCTACCCCGGTCGAGCCGACCCATTCGTGCTACAACTATACTACTAATATAGCTGCAGCATGGCTCTACCACGTATATAATAGGTTAGCTAATTAAGTAATAACTTAAGACAGAAGGACCCTTAAGTAGGGACTGAATAAATTAACCGACTTGGTATTACAAGGATCTCACAACTTTTTACGGTAGAAGAACTGAGTTGCAAGACTTTGTTTTTTTACAAGTTATGTTTTTGATGACATCTCTTTTATTTTTGTACATAGTTAAATCTAGGTACCTATCTACGCCTATTATTCCATTATATTATGCGTATACAGGTACACTGATTCATTCACTGCAAATGTAACTTTTTAATCCTATATCCAGTTTTATATTATAGATATATGTAGGTGTATCTAGAAAACTGGACCGAAATTGCAAAATATTTTAGTTTTTCTTTGATTTATACATTAAAATTAATTGTATTCTAAATTTGAAGCTTCTATGTCTGCTAGAAGTGCCTTAGAGTATTGATGATCGGTCAGTCAGTCAGTGAGTGAGTGGCAAAATTAAGAAACTTTGACTAGTTATAATTCTTAAACTGCAAATAGAATGAAATGCCTGTTTGGTTACTGAGTGTCAGGCTTCTAGTTTTATCCACAACGATTTTATAGAGGGGTCGAAAATGGCCTGAACTGTTTTGAGAAAAGGATGGTACGGCCGTGCCGCTTTTTGCTCGACTTGGCGGACACACACAACAGACATTATGTAGGTAATTGACATGAGGATAAATAATGGTAAAAGCTTGTTTCAATTTTGATTATAATAAATAATGTGGATCTAACTGATGACTTTTCAGTGTGGAGCTAAACTTAGCGACAAAAAGATCTTTTAACTTATATTCGACCAGGCTTTTAATTTTTTTTCTTGTTTTTAGATTTGGGACTCTCGCTTCCGTGGTATGTGAAAGTATATTGGGTGCTATATAACGTCGCCATTCCTGTCGCCTTTCTGATCACTGTCTTCTACTGGGTTATATTAAAATCCTGTAAGTATGTATTATATTTCTATATAAATATCTACAATATTCAAATTTTATACCTTCATCAAAGGAACTACTGTTAATTATAAGTTATTTTACTAACCGATCTTAAAAACCAAATTCATAAATAATTTATAATGAAAAAAAATAAAAAATTGGCCATGAGCATTAGACATAAGCGTAAGGTAGGGTTTCGCTGGGCTTACAAATGTTTGTTTTAATTTTAACCGAAATTTTAAGTACGGGATATTTTATTTTATTTGAAACACGTTACAATAATTAAGATTAATTGCTGAAAGAAGTTTAATACCTATTAAGTTCTATCTCATTGGATACTACTTAAATTAAACTACTTTTAGCAATTAAACTTAGAATTAATTAAAAAATTTATCGAGCTTAGAACATAATATGTTAAATCAAAAAAATATTACATCACTCATATACGGTAAAGGTCTATATTATATTATAAAGGTTCCTTCTATATCGGCGGAACCCTAAAATGTCAAAGGAATGCAAAATCATGTTGTTTGCTGATATTTTAATTTTTACATTAATAACTACTTCAACTTAAAAACAGTTTGCGAAATAAGTCCTTATTTGCAAGAATATGGGAAAGTTGCTAACCTTACTACAAATATATCCTTAACCTAAACTTATTTAACTTTTTACTTTTTTACCACCTATTTAACTCATACTTATATATATATATATATATATATATATATATATATATATATTATAAATAAATTGATTCTATAATATTAGGACAACTACAAAAATATTACAATGCGTGCACAATGTGATTAGGTAACTAAGTCTAGATTGATGATCCAAATGGACGGATCATATAGAAGTCAAACTTTGATAGGTATTTTCCTTCACATGAGCTAAAAATCGAAATTATTTTTAGCTCATGTTTATTAAAATTATTATTAATTTTATTATATCGTGACCACATTTCATTACATAGTAATACCAACGTGTCATGATAATTAGAGAGTGAATTACTCCGTAAACCCAATTTTACACATAATTATCTAATTAATACCTATGAAATAGCCGTCTTCTAACTCGCCATTTGAAATGGAAATCAACATGAAATCCCTAATTCAAATTAATGTCATATTAAAGTTATTAACTTGATTTAAAAAAATTGATACTCATTTGTTTTGTAAAAAGAATAGGTGTAACAAACCTGGACGGACCGAGACAAAGTTTTTACAAAATTTGATTTCACAAAAGGCGATCTAAGGAAACTCTAAAAGGTGGACCAAGGAAGGCCAAGATGGTCTCCAATATCTGACGAAAAAAAAAAACTGAAGAAATATCATAGTGCAATGCATAGACCAATAAAATCTATACAAATAATTAAAATTGAAGTGTCTGTTTTTAATGTCAAAATAACAGCTTTTTATGAAATGCATAATATGAAAGTTTATACGGTACTTATACCAAAAACAATTTTTAAAATTTTTGTCTGTCTGTATATTTCAACTAATCTTCGAAATGGTTGGACCGATTTTGGCGGCACTTTCACTGGTATGATAATAATATGATAGCTGATGTTTTAAGGAAAAACTTACTTTTAATTTAGAAAAATAATTAGGGTTCCGCACAAAAAAATTAAAACCCATGAAATCGTAATAAATTTCACACGGGCAAAGTCGCGGGGAACAGCTAGTCAGATATAAAACCAGCACGCGCGGCACCAACAACGGGAAGCAACAACGGTGCGAGTTCATAGACTAATTAGACAGTAACAAATAAATATCATGCGAGCTATTTCTTTGTTACTGTCTGTCTAGCGAGGCGGTAACATAAAATTGTAACTACTCCTATATTACTGGTAAAGCCAACAATGAAATATTTAGAGGCTGTTGACGAAGCACTGACTAACTAGTGGATTTTACTGAAGAAGAATATTCGTATTGTAATTAGTAATGTATCATTATTTCATTTCCGATAACTCGCAGCACACGAATCACTCATTAGTAGGTAATTGATAGAAGTCATGTGTACGATTAGAAGTTGAATAGAAATCAGGGCAGCCATTTTTACCATAATAGTTTAATCGAAAACTAAATTAATATCTCAATTATTATTTCCACAAATTTATAAATACTAATATCCAAACAGATTTAATTTTCTTTAAATTGAACAATAATCTCACATCAGTTTATGTTTACATTTTATTTCACAGCTGTCAAGAAAATAAATTACGCTCCAAACCCAGTACTCGACGTCATGCTGCACGGCATCAACTCTATGGTGATGTTGCTGGAGCTAATGCTATCGGCGCACCCCAGCCGCCTGGTCCATGTTATGCAGCCCTTGTACTTTAGCCTCGTGTACCTGTTATTTACAATTATTTACTACAGTGCGGGAGGACTCGATCCGTAAGTAACTTTGTATATACTCTGTGCGGTTTTATTAATTGTGGATCTATGAAATAATAATAATCTGAACTACCGATTTTATTAAGCTAAGACAAAAGTTAATTGACCTTAGCGTTCTATTGATTCATAAACGACTCTACTGCTTCGTAAGTATAATGGTAGAAGTTGTTCACAAGCGCGACTGTTGATCAAGTGGTACCGGGTTCGAATCCCGGGTCCAGCCAAAGTCAGTTACCGTTTCTTTCAGACGAAAAATTCTCAGTAGCAACCAGGAGTCAGGAAGTTAGCGGTGTTTTGCCCCGTGCCTCGTAAAGCATTTAGTTAAGCCTGCTACTGCTTGCTCCTGCGCCTGATCTCCTTGCGGTCATGTCGGTTTTCTGTCCCATCGGACCATGAATGTAGGAAATATAATATAAATATATTACGGCTCCGTGGCGCAGTGGCTTAGTAATGAATTAGAACGGTGGGGGCCAAATTCCGGGTTCGAATCCCGCACGTAACAAGTATTTGTATGGCCTACAAATAAATGTTCCGGGTTTGGATGTTTGTCCTTGTGCAATTTATGTTTGTAAACTTAAACTGCCTCTACGATACAGGAGAAAATCCTAGTGTGGAAGTAACATTTAAAAAAAAAGAGTATCGGGCTCAACTGCGTTTGTGTACACACTCGTACACTATAACCCTGTCCTGCGCATATGACCACACATTTGTATGCTAGGTATAATCCCGCTCTGCGCATGCAACTAACCTCCGTTAAAAATGGCCGCCCTCACCGAAATCGGTCTGGAGGACATTTTTTTTTAAACGTTACCCCCACACTAGGATTTTCTCCTGTGTCGTGGAGGCAGTTTACAAACATAAATTGCACAAGGACAAATATCCAGACCCGGAACAATCATTTGTAGGCCATACAAATACTTGTTCCGTGCGGGAATCGAACCCGCGGCCCCCAGCGCAACAACTGATTGCTAAGCCACTGCGCCACGGAGCCGTCAACATTATTATAGACTCGTAAGATTAGTGCATTAACTAGTTTTTGTCTTAGTGTTAATTCGTGTTATTACTTTCAAACACGCTTCTTGTACATACACACGCAAAGACATTTTCTTAATTTAACTCCTTTCAATGATTAATTTAAAATACGTATTTAAAATACGCAAGATGTAAAATTTAAAGCCCTTGACAAAATTTAAAGTACAATAAGTAAACACCTATTATAAATTATTATAAAAAAGTATGTAGAACCAGAGTAATCAACATAACCCAGCAGATCAGTAAGCTGATGTGGCACTAGGCCGGCCATATATCTTAAAGAACCGACAACAACTGGGGAAGAAAGTTATCGAGAGGCAACCTCGTACTGTTATGTTAAACTAGCTGTGCCTCGCGACTTCGCCCGCGTGTTATTTGGGGTTTTAGTTTTTTTGCGCGGAACCCTAATTCTTTTACCAAAATAAACGTAGCCTAAGTTACTCCTTATGACAGCAGCTATCTGCCAGTGAAAGTCCCGTCAAAATCGGTCCAGCCGTTTCACAGATTAGCCGAAACAAACCGACAGACAGACAGACCGACAGACAGACAAAAATTTTAAAAATTGTGTTTTTGTTATAAGTATCATATATACTTTCATATACATTTAGTAAAAAGCCGTAATTTTGACATTACAAACAGACACTTCAATTTTATTTATTTGTATAGATGTGGCGCGCCCCTCTGCGAGGAGTGATAAAAATGCAAAAAAGAAAAGGGATATAAAAAGTTTCTACAAATTTTATTCCTCATAGACTATAGAACTAATTTACCATGCAATACCATGAACAGCTACATACGTAACATGCAATACCATGGTATTTATGAATTGAATGCAAATGAAATTTAGTTAACTATTGCTCACTATAAATGATACGATGTCCGCATAGCAACTCAACCTTGAACTTTCAGGGACAACTTTCATTAATTAAATTTTATTATATATTGGAATGGAATGAAGTTCCTTATCGGACGGTACGAATTTGGCGAACTAGGCGAGAAAAATTGTAAGATTTTTCCGTCACGACCCATTCTGGCGTAGTATAGACGGCCTTGGCAGCTATGAGGAAGCGAGATGGACTAATATCTATCTCCCTCGCAATTTTTCTAATCTTGCCATGAAATAAATATTATTTTATTTTAAATGACGCTTCATTTTAATAGACACTATCGTAAGTAATTTATTTGTATTTTTTAATCAATAATATAGTACGTTTATCAATAATATAGTACGTTTATCAATAATAATATACTACGAAAGAAACTTCGTTCCAAACGAGTGTTCCACGACACTCACGCATGTTTTTTTATTGTTTAAATTTTAATCAAGGATATACTAATTGACATTTAAAACAATGTGTTTTAACTTGCCTATGTTTTTAATTAAAAATGTAACGATCATTATTAGGTTTACAAAAAATATGTCCTACTGTTATAACTGTAATAAAATGCGGCATTTACAATACTTGCATCGACTACCTGCATGTATATAAAGAAAAAAAAACGATATATTTTTGGGTTTCATAACATGGAATAGAATGGAATTTAAACATGGTTTTTTTTAAATTATCACCTATCATTTACGTCTGTCAGTTCACATAACAAACGCCTACTTTGTTTTAGTTATTAAAAAGTGTACTTCACTCCTCTTTACTGAGTTATCCGTAACACATTTACCACTTACTCGTATTATGATTTCTTCTAACTCGGAACAAGGTTGTTTTTGATGTACAACTGGTTTAAGAAAATATTACTCCCATATTACTCTCAAACGTTACACTGAATCAGAACAGAAAAATAAATACAAACTCAAAAATAAATAATAATTATTTTTTTTAAAAAATTAATAATATACCATATATAAAATTTACATAAGAAAAGTAGAATAAATTGTAATCAGGTAACAAAAGTTATTCAGTTCTTAGGCCTATAAGAAAATACAGCGCAGAACAACTAGATGAAGTGACGACCTCATTATCCAAACAGGGACTCGACGGAGATTCAAGATCATACCTTGTGCCAGTTTGTGGCGACATTTTTTTCACTTGGAAGGGATAGACTAACTGGCCTTTAAAAAACTTACCACATAGAGCGCTCCGAATAATGTTTGAATTATTTGGTATTGGTTTTGATTATTTGGTTTGCCGCTAAGTTCCACCATTGCACATCGCGACAGTATTCTCGATATGGACGGCCATGTTCACCATCTGGATGTTTAGGGGTTCACCGTTGTGCATTTTTTTTTTACTTTGTAGAATCAACCTATTCTCAACAATTTTTCTGGACCAATATGACTTAGGAACCTTCAAGAAAAGAGCGCGCTCCTTTTCAGGTCCCGTACCCAAAGGGGACCCTATTACTAAGCCTCCGCAGTCCGTCCGTCCGTCCGTCTGTCAGCGGACTCTATCTCATGATCAGTAATAGGTAGACAGTTGAAATTTTCACAGAATGTCTATTTCTGTTGCTGCTGTAACAACAAATAATAAAACTTAAAACAAAGTAAAATTAAAAGGGGCTCCCCGACTAGAAACGTGCATTACGATTATGAGTACGGAACCGTTCATGCGCAAGTCCGACTCGCACTTCGCCGGTTATTAATTGCTCGCGAACGCTTCAGCTTAATCGTAACGCTTCTTCGATTTTGTAGTTGTTTATGGGCGGCGGGCGCGGACACTTAACATCAAGTAACTCGTATGCTAATTTACTCACTTCTATAAAAAAACTCAGAACTCAAGAGGAGGAAATAATTATATCAAAATCCCCCATTGATTGCCTTATATTATAGGGGATTTTGCCATAGTTGCCACGCTTGGCAGGCGGGTTGGTAACCACAGTTTTTCTTTATTCAGCTGTTATCAGGAAGATGCTGTGCTGCCCATCTCCTGTTTAAGTTTCCCTCTGTCGCCTCTTACGACACCCACGAGACGATTTTTTTTATACGATAAGGGTGACAAACGAGCATACAGTCCACCTGATGGTAAGTGGTTGCTGTGACCCATAGACATCTACATTTATCCTCAATAAAGAATCAAAATGCAGGTGTGTCGTCACCCGTGAGAACTAAGATGAAATGCCTCTTTTCCAGTAAAACGGGTCTCCGGTTCTATACACTTACCATACGAAACACAGCAGTGTCAAGCTGCCATTTTACGCTGGTATTCTGTGAGAGCGTAGTCCTTACCCGGTCGAGCCGACCCATTCGTGCTACAACTATACTACTAATATAGATGCAGCATGGCTCTACCACGTAATAACTCATAAAGTAAACAAGGACGGATAGACTTAACCTACTACTCTACTCGATAAAGTATTTGTGTTCACATTTATGTGTACTCACGCACCTATAATATTAATGTCACAGCTAAAGGATAAACACCTTCGCATTAGTTGGTATATCGATGTGCAAACACTGTGTACAATACCATGGCCTTTTGCAAATAAAAAATGTGCATTATTCCAAACATTTGTCAATATATTCTGATTGTTTACTATCAAACATTTGATTAAGTGTAATTATTATTTATTGTATTTAAAAAATCTACTATTTTGAATTTTAATGTCCACTCGTAAAACAACAAGCCTATATACATATACTCCCCCTGATGTTGTGGTTGTTCGTGGGCGGCGCGGCAGTCGAATTGTACTAACTGGCCAGGCAGACGGTGTTCTGTCCTTTCCGACGACTCTTCATCCTATTAAAATCTTTAAATTCATAATAAAAATATTGAGGGTCACATATCGGGATAAAAACCATCCTATCTCTCAAGTGGAGGAAGCAATACACATTTAAAAAATTTCATTAAAATTAGTTCAGTAGTTTAGGAGTACATCGCGGACAAACAAAGTGACACGTAATTTTAATATATAAACGTATTATGTATATGTATAATAAAGTGATTTGAAACGATCTTATTTAAAATCCTAAAGGTTCAGCTGCAGAATAAATTTAAACTCACAAACCCACGGAACAC